CAACGCGCGCGACTACCGTTTGAATATTTGAAATTGTAGCCACACTAGTTGGCGAAAGCGGATAGAAAAATCTTTTGAAATGCAGTGAACCTTAAATCGGCACCCAGGCCATTTTCGTCGTGACAACAAATAATGGGAACACAATGTCTTAACATGAAGAAGCATGGAGCGAAATGTAGGGGGAAAAAAATTTGAAATAATCGATTGTTACACACCACGGCACCAGAAATGCCAGTCAATAGAAGTAAATACGGTTTGTTGAATGTTGCACACCGTGCACATTGAGCCGAGATAAAATGTTATCTCTCATCTCGTTTTTCTTTTCTTTGAGAAAAAAATTCGCTAGAAATTTCTCTTTTCACAGATACCATCACGTAGCATTTTCTTGCTTAACGGCCACCGTCGATTCATTCTCTTCGCTCAAAAGCTTTGTCAACCTTTGAACCACCACCACTACCACTATATGTGTGCACTTCAATCGGGTTAAAAACACCTTGGCGGTGAATGTGCAGCGCGTGCATAAATGTTTGATCGAATGGAGTTTTTTGAAGAATATTTTTCGTTATTCAACGAAGTGGCAGCAAAAAGAAAACACATCGACGAAAAGGACATAGATCGGGCCAATTTTCAATGCTTTGTGGCTTTTTCTATCGCTTTTATAAAACGAGCGCACACACACACACACACACACACACACACACACACACACACACGCCCATCTACATAGAAATGCAATTCAAATAGAAAAGATCGAGCAATATTAAATATGCAAACGTGTGAGAGATAGATGCATCTGGATGTTCGCTTGATTGTCTGTCAAACATATTTCGAAGGGAAAAATATTCAGAAGAAGCGATGGCTTGCGATGAAACGATTTTGCAATGGCATCTTGTGCACATCAAATGAGATTCCATGCTCATCTGCCGTCTTCACATGTTCCACTTACATATTGCGTTCGATGCCACACTCGTTCGCTCGTTTGCTTTGAAAGAAGCGCGCATAAAAGAACGACTCGTACATTTCATGAATTCACATTGTAGTAGAACGCGCAAACAGAACCACACGTTATGTCATATCACTCCTCCCATGCACGCTGTGCCCAAAATTCATTTCATGCTATTTGACACTGTCTGTGTACTAAGTCTCATTTCAAGTGCAGATTTTTATGCGCATTCTCATTGCCGTATGTCACAAATTGGGTTCGGTGCGTTTGCTCTTGATTTTCTTCTCTCTTTTTTTTAAATACGCTTTAATTAAAATTAATTAACATCTTTTCATGTTCCAGTGTTTATGAATATGCGCGCAAGTTTTGACATCTTATTTTCAACATCATTTCACTTGTGTGAATGTGACCGAGTCGACGACGACAATAAGAGCGAATGAACGGAAAAATCATAATACGTCGCATTGAATTTGAATGTGAAACGAAAACTCGCAGAGAAGGTCCTGAAAACAGAACGAGAAAGAAAAACAACAACAACAGCAACAACAATGGTTTCGGCATACAAAAACACAAAAGTCATTAATATAATGAAAGCGAAATGAGATTTTCAATGTGCAGCACTGTGTATGTGTCTGTGTGGATGTGCTGTTTTTGCTTTCGGGTGAATTGTACTCGACATTCCGTCTTCATCTCTCCTAACGCGTTTTTCTATGACATTTAATAATTCCCTTTCAAATACGACGAGCAAATGAACTGGGTAACGGATTGAATGTCATACAAAAATCATGGCAAATAAAAATGAAGTGTATGTGTTTATATATGAGACGACGTATGAGATGAAATCCGGCGTCGTCGTGTAATCGACACGGGTTTTTTCTCAGTCAACTTCAAAAACATCGTTGTGTCGACATTATATTTGCTTCATTAATTTTTCCATTCTTTCTTTGTTTGCTTCGGTTTGACGTAGTGAGTATTCATGATTTGACGTGACACTGTGCATAAATGATATAATCTACACCATCAATGTGAACGTGAACTCTTCGACGCTACTTTTTCTCTCACTCTCGATCTAATATCTTTTGATAAATCTTGTGACAGCCCATCTTTGAAATTCGAATGGGGCGATTTCTCTGTGTGTCACGTGAAGAAAGCACCAACATATGTCTATGAAATCTGCAGGGAAGACGGCAAAAATATGCTATAATAACCATATTTGTTGAATATAATTCATTCATTCATTCATTTCTTTCTCATTTATTTTCTGCCTTTGAATCGGTAATCTCTATTCCGATAATAAATTACATGCCATTTCAATTGAAACTCCAATTTTGAATGGGATCATTTCGAAATGATGCTGAATATCATCACACTAATTAAGACCCTGGGGATGGCAAATTCATGGCATATGTTTTTGGCTAAGTGAAGAATGTCGAACGATAAGGTGAAATTTTAACTAAAATATAAAAAAAATCTCCGACCAAAAGGAAACATGTCACCAATAAAAGCACGTGGCTCGCCAGTTCCGATGGTAAGTCACCATTGATGATGATACGCTGTTCATAGAAAATACAGCAACAAAAATGCGGACCGAAAAAAATAAAATTTGGTATCGTTGGGATTGTAAAACACAAACGCTCAACACAAACGCTCAACACAACCTTATAGTCTGACTCTGTTCGTCTTTTAACAACGTCGTTGAAAACGTTGACGAAAATTCAACAAAAGAAAAAATCCTCCTTAATACACACACACACACACTGTCGGCATCAAATTGTATTTGCTGCTTTTTATATGGCGACGCGCGCGTTTTGTCTCATCGCCAGCCACTTATCATATGCTTATCGCTGAGTCGGTATCATTTCCATTTCAAAGCACATTTAAGCATCCTTACGCATAATTACGTTTACAACCAAGCAAAAAAAATGATTAAAAAGCAAAAATGTTAAACAAAGAAAAACGTAGCGAAATCAACAAGCTACATCATTGCGTGTGTGCGTGTGTGTGTGAGATGGTTTGTGTGCCGGAGCAACCGAACGCACATTCATAAGACTCTTAATGGATGTTTTCGGTGGCAAAGAAAAATGTAAAGAGGCAGCATTGAGCACACAAGTGTATATATATGGGTGTGTTTTATCTACATCAGGCAGAAATGAATATTTGGCGTTAATTAAATATTAAATCCAAGAAAATGTAATTTTTCTTCAGAGTTTCGGCTTGTGCATTTCATTTTTAAAATCCAGCTCGTCTCTTTCTCATCATTTGCGTATAACTCGTCGCTCAATTGCATTGAAATCATGGCAAAAATCTGTAGTCTTATATGATTCATTTACTCCCATGATTTACTTCAATAAATTCGTTAGGAAAAATGCTAAGCCACAAACGGAAATCGAGAAATACACAGAGAGCAAAGTTTAATGGAATTGAAAGGTTCGTTACGCGATTATTTTTCAACTCTGTTTCGAATCATTTCTCTTTTTTTTTCTTCATTGGAATTGAAATACAAACTCGTTGAAAGTCTGATTTGTGTGTTTTTCTGTCAACTTCAGCTAACTTTTTTTCTGGGTTCCATTCCGGGATAAATCATCATTTTCAAATTAAATGCAAAGTTGAAACAGTGCTTAAAATTGATATGTGTCATTTGCACACGAAATGGTCGGATTTTTGTCAACGCAAAGGTACATGTAAATGGCTTGACGACAACGACGACGACGACGATGACGAACATGAAATAAACATTGCGATTACTTGTGTTTAAAGCGCGCGCCAATTCCTCGGTGAATAATTTCAAATGTGACCGATCGAAGGCGAAAACATCAAAATGAGCTGCTGCTGCTGAAGCAGAAGCAAAAGATGGGGCATGAATGTGGATCGAATTTGAGGCGGGATCGGAGAAAGTTTGTTCGCTTCAAGAGAGCAAACAGCATGTTCAAGATTTCAGAGTCTTGGCATATTCGAAGCTGTTTGGTTTATTTAATTGTAAAATACGCAAAATGCTAATAAAATATCCGTTAATATTGCTCCCTTGTGCATAGTGTACCGGCAAAATGACTGACACTCAACCATACAGCTGCATTGAAGTAAAAGTATCATCATTATATCGTTGCCGCAGTTCTATTTGTCTCAACAGCTATAAAGCCACATCACGTGCCATCGTACTCGTACACTTTGGCCCCAAATATTTGGCTGTTTCTTTTTTTTTTCTTAGTTAGCTGTTGCTGTTGTCGCTATTGCGGGTTTTTCTCACTCGCACTCGTTCATTTCAGGCTTTTTGGAGATGTCGAAAAGCGTTTGCACACACACACACACACACACACACACACAGGGACATTTAAATGCATCTTGTTGTCGGTACGCACACCATAACACACCAGAATTTCGTTGAATGCTCACTCAATCCTGGCAAATATGCTACGGTTTTTTCTTTCAGCTGTTCCAAACACTCGTTGTGCTTTTAATTCGGCACAATGAGTCAAATGAGGGCGACAAAGCAGAGTGGTTGATGTGAGCGAAAGGCCAAATTAAGTTACGTTTTAACTTTAATCACGACTTTTTGATAGACTGAACACAGAAAAAGCGGCACACAGAGGGGGCGAAAAAAGTGCGCAAACACACAGAAGATCTGGGGATGTGAGAAAATTAGCGTTAGCTTCTTTTGGTTTGATCAAATTGTATTCCGTGCACGAATCCATACATCTTTTCATTAGATCAAATTAACACGATGACACTCAACTGAGTGGGATGAAGAAGAAAAAAAAAACGCGACGCTCAGATTTCCAAAGTGAACGGAAATAAACGAGACAATGATTATTAAATTGACGAAATTGGAAATGGTCGCAATCCTGTCACATTTTCCAATGCATCGTTGATATCCTTGGACACAACTTTTGTCCAAAGTCAAAAAAATATCACATGCGAAAATTGTACACAGGATACGCATCCAAAACGAACCGACTAATTCAAATCGATTGACACATTACTTAATTCTGCCGGCGTATTCGATTTTACTTAACGTGCATACAAATGACACGGTGGTTTGACTTTTTTCTGCTGTACTTACCGTTCAGTTGTACTCCTCAATTTAAACTACAGATTAATCCGATTCGGTCTTCTATCTATCTTTCTCCCTCTCTCTGTCTTGCTCCTACATTCGCACTCCGATTAAATTCGAAATTTAAATTCGGATGCGATGAAATTTTATTCCCTGCAAAAAATCAATTACAAAGAAAAGAGAATTGTTTAATGAAACGACGGGCTAATGAGAATGTGTAAATAATAATGGATTTTTTTTGGATAGGTTAAATGTATTTATGCCAGAACAATTGAATGCCACATTTCAAACGATTGTCGACTCCATTGCCATAATTTAAATTTACCGAAAAAAAGCACATACACACGCAAATGGCTTTTCCTCTGCCGTTTTCATTTTTAACGAAAATAAAAACATACACCATTATCAGATTATCAAGAACTTTCGCTGTTGCTCAAAAATCATTTATTCATTTTGCACATATCAGCTAACGCTGGTTGGTATCGAATGGAAAATGTGTCGAACTGAGTGTTCGAATTGAGTATATTGTGCCGAATTGTGAAGAGAAAGAGAGAGAGAGAGAGAGAGAGAGAGCGAGAAAATAAAACACAACAATTGGTACGTTAAAATAGTGTTCAATCATAATAGCATTAAATCGATGGGCATTATCGATGATGAATGCGCAGCTACCAGCTTTTTCTCGTGGCTCCGGCTCTTTCATTAAAACCATTCGAAAAGTCTTCAATTTTGCAACGAATCACACAAAATTTGCAATGGAAATGAATCATGATGTATTTTGGTAATTGAATTTGGTGCACATTTTTGGGGTGGCGAAAATCCTTGAAATGTTCATTAACCCTCATTTTATGTGGAATATGTGAAATGAAATGGTATTTGTGCAACAATTTTATGGAATAATCCAAAATGATTTGAACTTTTGATCGATCAAATGCAATTCGGTCGCGACGAAAATGGATTTTCTAATATTCACACAGAAACAAAAATGAACAACCGATTTATTGTTAGAAAAAACTGTATTATCATACATAGAAAATAAATCACAGCACCGCGTCGATATTGTCGACAAAGAACAACAGAAAAACTCCAGAAAAAACAGAAATCGACTGAAATAAAATAAAAAGAACAAAAGCCGACAAACAAATTCCAGTCAACGAAAATAAATTTCGAAATAAAAATTACGACCAAAACAAAGGCATTCCAAAACAACGGACGACACCGTACACCATCAATTCCACACAAAACATACACAATTCCCGCTCTGATTTCATTTTCAATGTCTGCATTTCGTGTGTTTATTCGAAAATATCCATAGACATCGATTGAATGAATCGTATTTGGCATGTTTATATTTGCGATTGAAGGTTTCACTTTTATCTGCTTTGCACCGTTTACCTTTCCACAGCACAGGAAAAAAATGAGCGCACAAGCGTGTTCTTTCTCGATCCGAGCGTAAAAACCAGTTGCCACATAGATAAATAGTATAACGAGATTCCAAACAATGTAAAAGAAAAAAATTGTCACAAAATGGCAATACAACGACGACGACACGGCGAAAAAAAAGTGTTAGAGTAATAACAATAAGAACAACAGCACAAAGCCCATCTTTATTGTATTTTCGTTTGTGATTTTTCGCTTTGCATTCGAAATATACACAGCGAGAGATAGAGAGAGGCACAGAGAAACAGAAAGAGAGAGAGAGAGAGAGAGAGAGAGAGAGAGAGAGAGAAAAGTTGAAATAACATGGTTGATACAGTTTTTAGTTCTACTTTCACTGATCGTTCTATGCGCTCGTTTCACGTAACTTTTTTTTTCTCTCACTGTTACTGCTACTTTTCTCTCTATATGCTGTGTCGTTGCTGTTATTGTGGTTGTTGTTTTTGTTTTTGTTGTTTTGGTATCTTTTCGAAGCCTTGATTGTTTTCTTCCATCGCATTTACTTGTTTACTTTGCTTTGTTCTGTTTGGTTCAAAGTTTAGAGGTTTCCGCTTTTGTATACTATAAGTACGAAAATCAGCAAAGAGAGAAAGATAGATCGAGAAAAAAAAGCTTTGCGGTCTAACGAAGACACTACAAAGTAGACATACACACACACACACCGACACACACACACATACAAAAGCAACGAAAATTGTTGTGAAGCGTGTGGATTTCGGATGTGTAGGTTCGTTTGTGCGCGCCTTGTTGAAACGGTTGAGAATGATGTACACTTTGAAATCTCATGATGTGACGTGGCCCTGAGCCTGAGGTCGGTGCGGCTTTTAAATACAACTTTTTCTGTCGATTTTCATTTTTGCTTTTCTGTTTGAATTTCCTTTTATGCCCGACGGGCGACAACACGGATAAAACACCAACTTTTTACTCAAGCTCACCGAATTCGTTGGGATTTCTTGCGCTCGCGCGCGTATATACGTACGTATGTTGTTCTTTCCTGTGCTCTCTTCTCCCGTGTCCTTATTCGTGTTTTTATTTATATTTGTTGTCTGTTGATTCAATGTTGCGAAAGAAACAGCCGGCGGGAGAAAAGAGCATTTACCAAGTTTCACATTGGAATTGGCCGCCGCCACCGCCACGGTGCTCGACTCTCGGAAATCGATAGCGCACAGATGAGTCAACTTTTGTTAACCACACTTGCTTTGATTAAGTTTCAGTTCTTCTGTTGGTGATTGAATTTATGGCGCGAGAATTTGTTATTGAAAAGCATCGAATTTCAATCCGACGCTAAATTGCGCTAAAAGCCGATAATCAAATCAAATAAAACTTTCCTGTAAACAAATGGTTCATTTTTTTTTTCATTGGCCTTACTATCGAGTAGTTATTTTATAAATTGTCACTGCAATAGATACCATTGGCTAGAGTTTTTTTTTATCGCATAGCGTGAGAGAGAGAGAGAGAGAAATTTGAAAGTGCGATGGAAAGCAAAAAAAAAGAATGTCCCGGTGGTAAAATTTGCGGAATGCAGTGAATGCAAGCCATTGTCTCTCGTCAACATCAGCGCATTTCGAAAATGTGCGGCTAATGTAACGCCAAACGCATAAATGGAATATTTTTAATTACGTGTGTGTGTTCGCGCTATTCTGCTCTCTCTCTCTCTCTCTCTCTCTCTCTCTCTCTCTCTCTCTCTCTCTCTCTCTCTCTCTCT